TCTCGGTTCGGTCAGCTGGCGATGCTCCGCGGAACACTCCAGGAGACCGAGATGATCGAGATCCCGGTCGTACCGGAAGCGTGTTCCGGCGCTCGTTTGTGAGCATTGTCCGTTGTGGGGTTGGTCAACCCTTGCTCGGCCAGCATTCACGTCCGTCGATATTGTAGTTCGAAAATTGATTCACGCCGCTGCCACCGCAGCAGCAGCAGCTGATAATCCATCAAAACTTGCCACTTAATACAGACAGGCTGCACAATTATCTCATTTGCAGCGGTGTTCCTCTTTGATATGAACGAGCGAGTGCTGGGGAGAAGGCAGCCGAGACTGGGAGCCCTCCTCTGTCGGGAGGGAGTGCGAGAAAGAGATGCCGGGGTTTGGACTCGCCCCTTCCCTCAGCTCTTCATCTTCTCGTCCAAAACAAATACCTCAATAGCTAATAAGCCACGTGACCGCATCCACTTTGGAGCACCCCGCATGCAGTACACCGAGAGGAAAAGATAGACACAGACAGACTGACATACCAACACAGGGAGCAAACCCATTCGGAGCGCAGCCACATTTCAAACCCTAACTGTTTTGATGGCTGGAGGGGCCGAGGGGGAATTTTTCGAGAGTCATCGAGGGGCTCCGACGCCGAGTGCAAGGGAACGACGAGTCGGCAGACAGGCACGACTAGAGTTTTAGAGAAGGACGGGTCCGGGTGGTTGGCGGTGCGCCGGATCGGTCGGACGGCTGGTTGTCGAAGTCTCAAAAAGTGTACCGACAACAAGGTTTCATTTTTGTTCGTTCGAATCCATTGTGGCTCAATGAGAGACACGATAATAACGACAACTATGGCTTCAGTAGTTTCCCCGCGCCATCATTGTCCGATGATCTCAGTCAGAACCCCCCTCCCCCTTCCCCTTGGAATCCTCGAGAAATCGTAATCTCCTCGGAATGACTGCCGGCAAAGATCTTATTCCACGGGTGGTCCGCGACCTCGTCGAATCCCTCGCGTTCGAAACTCCGAAGAGAAGTTCCATAAATTCGATTTTGGTGGATAACTTCTCCAAAGAGCTTCCTTGCTGGTGCCACAAATAAGTTGCGATTCTCCTCTGCTTGCCAGGAGTGAATCGCGATTTGTTGTGATGGTTCCATCGAACGAAAACCATGCCCTCATGTCATCGCCAGCCACCGAGCAATAACGACAACAAGAACAGCTTCGCCAGGCGAGCGAAGAGAATCGAACAAGAGGAATAAAGGCAAATGAATGGCTGTCTGATGAGGACGTTGTTGCATCGCTGTTGATTCTTAACACCAAGGTAATGGCGCTCACAGATTGGATTAGGAAGCAACGCCTCCCAACCCCTTCCTGCACGGAGCGACGGACAGCGAGGAGACCGCGGGCTCTATTTGCATCGCAACCCTTCGAACCCCCGTTGTTGCCTTTCCCTGTCCGGCGGATGCCTGAGAAGGGCTTCTTTTGTACGACCAAACGGGCGAGTGAGCGAGCGAACGACAAACTCCTGAGAGGGTATCTCCCTGTCTCTATGTTCGCTTGTTGTTGTCGTTGTATGGCGCGAAACGCCATTCAGACTTCGTTAGCAACCGACAACGTTCGGAGTAGAAGCTCAGAAGGCTCGTGGATGTCCGAACAACCGTCGATTCATACTTTTCCCCCGCTGGCAAAAGGCTCGTGACTATGACATCTTTGAGAGTTCTGCGCAAAATGTCTCAAGCATCGGGACGTGGAAGCTCGCAAGTTTCTCCGGCCGATCGTTCCCGGGGAAGAACGGAAGAATGGAATGTCCTTCGGAAAATAGTCAATCAGTAAGAGGATATTCCTTCTTGTGGTTCCCAAAACAAGCGATAAGTATTGGGTTCGGCTTCTCTCTGAAAGCGAGCAAGAGAAAAGCAAAAATTCCTCTGTGGGAGAGATAATAGACACAGAACGCGCCGCGTTCGGTGTCATCCGACAGCTCTGGGTGCCAAGCAGCCGATTGGAAATCGGACAGAACGACAGGCGAAACGAAGACGAGGAAAACATACCTCTGGAATCCGAGAAGTATTTCCATTCCATAAAATCGAAGCGGCGAGACAGTCGACCGGAGCGGGCGGATAGTACGATGCAGGCTCAAGAGGCAGGAGTGATGAGATTCGAGAAAATTGGCTATACGTAGGCAATTTGAGAATTCCAGATTGCCGACGGAATATGCACGAAGCTTCCGTGAACGGAACCGATTCCTCTCGAGGGAGAATCCCTCCTGTTCTGTAACACTTCCGAAACAGTTATCCCCGAATTAAGGGAAGAGAATGCGCCGCACGGCGATGTCATCCGAGAGTCGAATTACAGCTGCGAGGTCCGTTCACTCGATTGTAGGGGAATCTTAATGCCGAATCACGCGTCCTCCGCAAGTGCCGGTAGAGCACTCTGCTCGTTGTATTTGTTCCTTTCGTGTGAGCCGATGTGTCTGCTTTGGTCTGCTAAGGATGGACATTGGCCGTTTTTTGTCCTAAGAGGATATCGTATTTCGAAAGCAGCCGACTAGACGAGCAGCTTACATTGCGTGCTGTTGAACAATTCGGTCTGAGCGGGAATCGTTCCGTGTTGCCGATCATAGACAAACGACGCTGCCCAAGAATTGCTTTCTTCTCCTCGTCTGAAATGGAACACCTTCTGGGACTTCTTTCGGAAATGGAAATATTTCTTGCTTGCAACTCGAGCGGGGACACCTACAGAATGTCGTGTATAACCTTGGAGAGGTGCTGCGAGTATCACAGGAGGGAATGAAGTTGTTTCGGGTATCCTGTTTCAGGAGGAAAACTCCCTAGAACTGGCTAAGAATACCAAGGACACCGTGAGTCGGCGGACAGAAAACAAGTCCTCTGATCGAGAAGAATTCACTGCATCGGTGAGTAAACGGCAACGATCCTGGATGAAACCAGGACCAATTCTTTCTTGAGTGACTCTGGAGGTGACAATGTATATCACATTTCACTCATATGCGAATTGGGGAGGATGCTCTGACTGGGTTGTCCGTTTTCCGCCGGATGCTCGGACCATACTTGAAGTCGACATTCTCCACCCGTCTTGTTGAAGAATTCCGCATGTCCCGATGCGCGATTCCGACTCTTATCTTCGAATCGGATATACTACTTGGGGGAAGCTGATCAATGGTATGCCAGGTACAAGACGTGACGGAGGATTTACGAGTTTTTGTTCGCGTCTCCGAATCGATGAATAAAGTGAGGTTCCGAAGAATTCCGTGGACAAATTTGAGTCTGGAAGCGTTCTATGTTGGAACAGAAAGCACGAAGAGCTTGACGGATGGATAGGACCTCAGCGTGCGTTCCAGGCCTCGCTTGCTCGCTCCATTTGACTCTCTACATCCGCGGTGCCGGGTCGACGTCTGGATCCGAACATTGTAGGATCACTGTGTTTCCAATGGCCGAATCGGTTCCAAAGAATAATCGAATGAAACGCGAGAGATTCTCAAAGTTCTAGTCACTTGAAATTGCCTGGGGACGAGAGCGATAGAGATTGTTTCTCACGAACGAACAGACCAGCAAGCCACTCAGAGGCGAGCTCCATTGTTCAGATTCTAAAGCGCGGCCTATAAAGGCTCGCCCGAATCCATCTCTCTTGAAGGCGCATTAATTGACAACCAATTTGTTCAGGTCATCGACGACGTTCGATTCTCCTCTAATATTGATTTCAATAGCAGTAAAACGACCGAGCATTTTTTTCTTATGGAGCTCCCGCATAAAGCGTCCTCATTGTCCCTTTATTGGTTCACTCATGGAGGCTCCATTAGATTTCGAAGACCCGAATGATTTCTTTTGTGTCAGAATTTCGGGTGGGGTCAGCCACCACGCCAGCCAGCCAGCCGGCGAATTCGACAGTCCATGCCGGAGCCACTTGGTGTGCCGATTGACTGACTGACTGCTGCTTCGATTCAGGGCGCAATGTCATTATTACACAAATAAAAAAGCAGTTGTTCACCGAATGAGATACAAATGTGAATTATTGTTTTATGACGACCGCTTTGATTCAGCTTGAGCTTTATGCCATTCCGTGACGGACTGTAGGCCTACCTGCTCGTCCACTGTCTCAGAGGCAGCTCGCGTGGTGCGGGGTCTCTCGGTCCGAGTGCACTGATAGGGGCGTTTCCCAGGAGGTGCGCGCGAGCTCGCCATCAAGTGCTCGCGCAATTCAAACAATGGGGTCACGGGCTCGAATCAAATTATTCGGCATCGGCGGCAGCCTCGGCATCACCACGAGCCAAATGGTGCTGCTGCTGATGATGATGACGACATTTGCGATGATTACGACGAAGACGACGATAACAATTATCGCTGGAGAAACGATTAAAACAGTACCACACAAAGTCCTAATTATTTAGTTATGAGAGCTCGGAATCATTCCTGACGATAATGAAAATGGTACCGATCTTTAGCGGGACCTGGCTTACCTACTGCGACGCGAATCGATAAGCGTTGAGGGCAGAGACGTTCGCCGCGGCTCTACCGCTGGAAGATTTAGCCACCGCGTTATTCGTATTAGTTAGCATCATGATGGTTTTAAAGCAGGCGCCTGGATAACATGAAACGAACACGTTAAGCGTACGCTGTCGCAAACGGTATTGTCCGCGAATTCCCCCGCGAGTCGAGATCCGATGTCAGACCGTCGTCGGATATCACTCGTTTGTGTCGAATTTGTTGGATATCATCATCGTCGCTACACCTCAGGGCAAAGAGATTCTCCTCACGTTGGAGGTGGATCGACTCCACCATCACCACATCGAAATACTCAACAAGATAGATCCTACTCAATTACTGTCACATCAACTGCTACGAGCAATGCTGTCTCTTCCTCCTCCTTCCTTTTTTGTAGTGGCCGATGTCGAAATATACTTTTCTCGCGCTCACATGTGCGGGTTCTGCGGAGTCGGGGGGTCGACGGTGTATCCTCTGAGCGAGCGTCGGATCGAGCCTTTAGGGACATTTTCTATTGCTTACAGGTACCTCCATGGTCTCGGCGCAATGGCCTGAGTCCTCTGTTGGGGGTTTCTCCCGGAGTCACACCCCCCATAAGTCCACCCTGTGCTGCTCAAACGCGGACATCCGTGGAAGGGTCGGATACTCCTCTGAATCTCTCGAAGAAAGTCAACAACGGAGGACACTCGAACGCCGCAAGTCCGAACGGCAGCGCGAGGTGAGTACGTGGGCTCTACGCGGCCCGTCTGGAGGGTAAATCACTCAACGGATCTAGTTCTATTCACCCCGTAACTATCCTGGACTGGTTGGAGGTAGAAACGCGTGGCGAGGGAAAACGCTATCATCATTACTAAACAAAGTCAATGGTTATTTGGCCGCGTCGATATCGATGCCGGAGAAGATGGATTCGACGATGCGGTTTTCGAAAAGCACGCGGTACACCACCGGATTGTAGAGAATCAGGAACGGCAGCGCAACTCGTTGTTGGTCATCGCTAGACAGAGGTATTATGACTTCACAACCGATTGACCGATCGCCAGACCGAACGTCCGAGCTAGCGATGCAACAGACGAAAACACGCTTTACGATCGAGTTCTTTGTGCGCGAAGGGAAAACGGAGACGAAAAAAAGAAGAAAGAACTCCTGTAGCCGGTGCTCTTCTGTCATTGGGAAGACCATCATGAAAATTTTCTGTGGTCCTCCCATCGCTGAACAGAATCGTCGGAGCCAATCCAAATTTTGCTAGTCTTCCCTTCGATCTATTGGCTCTTCCGACGCTGCCGCCGCATTCGCTATTTTCTTCGCTTCCTTTCGCTCATCTCGCGAACAAGAGGACAAGAATCCTTCGGTCGGCTTCGGGGTCCAACGACACCATATCAGGCAGTGTGGCGCGGCGTTGCACCCCCGGAAGTCCGAGCGGAGATAATTCGAGCCCCCATTCGGGTCGGGAGTCGGGATCCAAGACGCAGTTGTGCCGTCCTGATGAATCGTCGCATGCATGGCTTCCTGGGACGGCTCGATGATCTATTTCCCTGGCGTTTTGGAATTCTCTTGATGTCTCTGTCGAATACGCTCGACGTCGCGGGCGACCTACCCGCCGCTGTCTGTGACAAACCCTCTTTTGTGTATGAGTTTATTTGTTTGTTCGGCGAGAAGGCGCGCAGTGTTATTCGGTGGTAGCGTGTTTTTAAATTTTTGACAAAGACCATTTGTCAAACATGAAAAATGCCGACCCCCGCTGGCACCTAGAGCATATGGGTACGATGGCGAGGGAGACGAAGCAAATGCACACATTTCCAGAAACATACAGCCGGAGAAACGAGTTGATACTACAAACAAAATGGGGGAGGGCTCGGAACAACGTGCGCTGAAATGCGACGCGTAAAACTCCGACGGGAGTTCAAGCATCGTTTTGAGATGTCTTTCTGAATCTAATCAAAGGCGCCGTAGAGAAAATTGTTTGGCTTTAATTGTGGTGTCTGGCCGTACCTATGTTTCTTCTGGGTGAGGTCGCTACCAATTACTGTTCGTTGTCTCGCTGACCAGCGAGCGAGCGGAGGCAACGACGACCCGCGACGGTGAGTTGACCACGATAGGGAACCATTGGATTTCTGGCTGTTCAACGGCTCCTGATCGAGGCATCGCAGGTTATCCTGATTAGAGCGAGATCCTGTTCCCGTCATATGGTTCGCGTCTTCGAGTTCTATCGGCATTGACCCTCCGACTGCTCAAGCCTTTGCATGATACCTCTGACGTGCGGCAATGGAGGCAAGAACAGCATCGGCAACGGTGGCGTTTTTCGAAGAACGCGTCTTCAGGAGGTAATCCGTCAAATTCGCTTTGTCGATCGCTTGATTTTTCTGACTTATCAGAAAAAAAACTGTCAGCACCAGCAGCGTGGTCTCTCTTCCTTCTGTTTCCTCGCTTCCATTTTATAGTGTAGGGACTCGCACAGTGTCCACTTCCGACGTGTTATCCAACTTTTTTTTCATTCCAAATCTTCATGAGTGAATGATTTCTCTAGCCTTGTCCTTGAGACCCGCGCTTTTACCAGACAAATGATCGATTCTTCCTGGGAATGTTAGAAAGTGAGCAGCCCAGACGTTCCGTCATTAGCATTATACCTCATGTGTTATATTGCTATGCACACCACGAGAATGCTCTCCGGCCATCACACGTATGATCAAGCAATCCCCCCCCCTAAAGTTCCTCTGGACCGAAGCGGCATTTGAGGAATCCGGTCCAGATCTCGGAGAGTTTCGAAGTTCAGCGAATTTGCGTTCAGCGTTGGAGGGGGCTCCCTAAAGAATCCTGATAAGGAGAACACTGGGTTCAACGCTCGACGGCACTCTGATGCTCTTCGTCCTCCCATGAACATTCGAATACAGTGGAATTCCGCGGAGAGGTCGACGCTGAGACAATCGCCTCTGCGTTTCCTTGGACGGCTGTTCGTCATTATTTCGATACAAAGCGCGCGCCGCGATCCGACACACAAGTCAAAAGTGCCAATGGGAAATAGCATGACGGGGGACGCTTGTTGTCGTCCAGCCGTGAAACGTGAAATTGGCACGCGCTCGCGCGGCGTTGAACTCTCCGATTCGGGGGACACCCGAAGGAAACGCCGACAAGGCGCATAGCACCGGATGGAACGGAAAGGTTTGCGGCACGCTCACGTACGCTCTCGGCGAGGCTTCCGCGCCGACTTGAGTGACTTGACGACGACTTACAGTCAGACCTTTTCGGTCTTCCCCCATAGTGACGGCTTGGACCATTAGTAATTTCATAATGATTGTTTTAGACGGCGGTCGTATCGGATCGAAATCATTTTGCTTGGAGATGCAATAGCGGTGCAGGTGGTGGTTGTGTTGGTGGTGGTCAGTGGAGAAATTCGTCTGTCAGGCTGGTTGGCTGGCATGTGACGTTGTCGTTGAGTGTCGCTAATGACGGCGACCGAAGCACTAGGGAACATTGTCGTTGACTCGCTCACTCGCACAATCACCATTGCTGATGATCTTCGACTTCGCTGAAGTTACATCGCATGGAGCGCTGTGTCCGTCTCCAGGAGAATAGGGGACCAGCATGGGACCGAATACAATAACAACATGCTTGCTTGTTCGGCTGCCGTTTGACTTGACTGCTAGGTCAGTCAGATCCTCTGTCAGTCGCTCGCTCGGTCCGCTCGTACGTAAGTCCGTCTGTCTTTCTGGCGGTCGATCCGCACGTCAAGTTCGTCTGTCAGGCGATCGAGTCAGCCGACGTCATCGGGGAGGAAGGCAAGAGGAAATCAGCGAATCACCAACATGTCGGAAGGATCCCCTCTTCTCCAGCTTTGGATAGAGTACTCGCCCCGAGTCCGCATCGAGCCTGCATGAATCCACCGACGTGGTAGTTCGCATGATCTTGACAATGTCCGAAAACGGAGCCGGAATAAATCGGTAGCAAACCGCATCGTCCGACAAGCGATCGAGCATCCGTCCGCCCGGTCGATTGTCGGTCAATTCGATCGATCCAACGATCGATCGCTCCAGCGACCATCCTTGCCACCGTCCAGCTTGGCGCTTTGCAATGTCAGGAGATCTGCGTAGTAAGTGGTGGTTGCCATGGAACATTGTTCAAATGTTCCGATATGCGCAAGCGACCGCGCGTTCGATGCCTGCGGCTGCCACTCCCTTTTCGACGCGATATTCGAGGGGACATGGTAGATAGGGCGACAGACGAACCGACGCGGCGACGTATCCACACACGGACGAAGCGACTTTTTGACGCGAAGGCAGACGAAGGGACGGACGGACAAACGGACAATTTGCCTGACCGACTGAAGAGAATGAATGACCGCGCGAGCGAGCCAATGGACTTACACGACTAGTCGGCTGGATGACATGAGCTTGTTCGGCATGAAATAAGTTCTTCAGAACGATATGCTTGTCAGACATCATTCAATGCAACAGCAGTTACTCCACTCGAAAATGTGGGCAGAGGATTCTAAAAGGTCTTGCGCCAGCCTCTTCTGGAGCCATTTCCATGCCGAGAAAGCTCCGATAATTTCGACGGGTCCGATAAGAGAGTCATTTTCGTCGAGCGCGGATCGAGTCGACGTATCGATCGCCGATCCAAACGATGTCTTCTTCCCGAAATACGTTCCGACGGCCGTGGGGATTAGGCATGAAGACAATCGAGGGAGCGAAACTAGTCACCTACGATCCGAACGTCCAGCGAGAGAGAGGCTCGAATGAGTAGCGGGAGTGAGAAGCTCGTATCGGAAAGCTCGCTGCACCGAGACGTCCGACTCGATGTCCGACCGGTTTACTCATTTCATCCCGTAAACTACTCGCATTGTCGACTACCTCGGGCACGATCGCGTCGATTGCAATAACGACGTCCGTCGTCGCCGGCGACGACCGCAAGCGATGAGATGGTGAATTCGCTGTTGTTGTTGTTATTGTTGAATAATAGGATTAGAAGGAGCAAGCAGAAATAAAATGGAACGAGGAAGGAGAAAGAACAGAATACAACACAGAAAAGCGAAACGAAATACGGACCTGGTTACCGCAACGAATAAAAGAAGTTCACTATCAGCCGCCACCGGAGCCCAAATCATTCGACTCACTAAGCACGGTCGAATGTTCCGAAGATTCGAAAAGCAGAAGGGTGCGCCGCTTTCAGTTAGTATCCCCCGGTGCCTAATGCTCGACGTCGCCGGTTTTCGGAATTTCTCCATTTCGGTCGCGGGCGCTGTGTGGAGTTTCTTTTCTCAGCCTGGATTCTCTCGGTGCTGTCGGGGAATCGATGCAGCAGAGTCGTCTCCGTCCGTGTACGATATGGATTCGTTCACTTCGGAACACGGTTCCTCGAGAGGGAGCTGGGCTGTCCCGTAGCTGAGGAGTCCCGATCGGACGCCATTGGCGTTGGGTACAAATCTAAAAACAGATATGATGTATTCATCGGTTTGTACCCGCGCCCTTCGTCATGTGGGGGGGATAATCGATCGCCGTCGATAGGTTTCAATCACTGGTCGCATCGCTCGTACCTGACGAAATCTATGTGTCAATCGTCGTGTTTTCCGCTGATGGAACACTCGGCTATGTTTAGAAAGCTCCAGTACAAATGAGAGTTTTTTATTATTTTTTTCCGTCTCCCCGCCGGTTATGTATGTCATTGCTTCGACTGGCTAAGCCATCGACCAGAATATCTCCTGGATGAATAGCTAGGTAGCGACAC